TCATAGGTATGTCATAGATGATTAATAAATACTTGATGAATGAGAAAGTAGATGCCCTTGAAATAGTTCTTGAGTCATTTATTAAAGGAAACACACATATATAATAAATATTTTTAGGGTCAAAATGTGTTTTTTAAGCAGGGATGAGATCTGCCTATATGCTTTTTTTTTTTATTATGTTATGTTAATCACCATACATTACATCATTAGTCTTTGATGTAGTGTTGCATGATTCATTGTTTGCATATAACACCCAGTGCTCCACGCAGTACGTGCCCTCCTTAATACCCATCACCGGGCTAACCCATCCCCCCCCAGAACCCTCAGTTTGTTTCTCAGAGTCCATAGTCTCTCATGGTTCGTCTCCCCCTCCAATCTCCCCCTCTTCATTCTTCCCTTCCCACTATCTTCTTTTTTTTTTTTAACATATAATGTATTATTTGTTTCAAAGGTACAGATCTTCCTATGCTTAAAGATGACAAAGAGAGATCTTTAAGCCTAGAATTTTTCAACTTCTCAGAAGCTATTCTGGCAAGGCTCCTCAACCTACCCACTGTTTTGATGAAATAATATCTGGAATTTATTCTAATGATACATTTACCTGAAAGGCACCCAGAATAATATTATTCTTCCACCATTAGACCTTGTTTGGACATGATTTTATAATTTGTTCCTCACCTTTAAGTAAGTTTCAGTGTCTCCCTTAAATTTCTTTTCTCCCTAAAATAATAATAATAATAATAATAATAATAATAATAATCCCTTGCTCTCACTAATTTCAACGAGGTATATAACTCTGAGTCCCAGTTTTCTCCTGAACCAAATCGGAATAATGTCCAACTCCCTAACTGACAGAGCTATTTTGAGGACTCAGCTGCTAGTTATTGAAAATGTAAAAACTCTTATTTCACAACACACAGAAAAATGTTCAGCACAGAACTGTTTAATAACTGATCTACATGGCTAAATGTTGCATTTTCAGAGAGTTTATCAGAGAGGGTATCACTGGTGTTTATATTTGTATGCATACACCTGTCAGTAAGCTTCAACCTATGAACAATCAGATAGGAAGGCTAGGAATGTAGAGAAAAAAAAAAAAACCCACACAAACCAAGTTTGATTAATAAGACAGAAGCAATAAATTTGTTTGGGTAGAAATAAATTACCAACTCCAATTTTATGCATTTTATTTCTTAAGTTTATGCAAGTTCCCTCATACACAGTCTAACTTTTCAATTTTGACAATTTTATTAGTAATACTGAAAGATTTTAAACTATCATTACATTTAATCTTCTTCCTAAAGCTTCTTGTTTCTTTGGCAGTAAAGACATAAATTGTCATTGCCTCTTCCTATTGAACTTTGAAGTATAAAATTCTTTTTGCTTAGCTAACCTAAATCAGCCATGTCATGTAGCCCCTTTGGGTAATAATTATACCTGAAATATGTACCTGAGTAGAAGAAAGAAAAACATCTCAATTCCATCTTCTTTTCATTTAGTTTTATGATAACTGATTTATGTATTTCTTGGGTCTCCTATTATTCAACAGGAATAAATCTCTCCACCTCCCAAGATATTTGCAAATACATGCCAATGAGTTATCTATTCCCCTCCCCGCCCCCTCACACACAATACTCATTTTTGATAAATTAGCATAATTATTTGTCACTAAATTATTCTAATAAACATATTATTAAGTCAACTAAAAAATAGCAAAATTAGATTTTAGTAAATAGCACTCTAAATGTGCTGCCAAGTGTCCTACATAATTTCACTTCAGCCCCTATGTCAAAAGATTTATGTCCTCAAAATATTTTTACTCACTGTAAAATATTTCACATCATCATCAATAACCTAGAAAATTAATATTGATAAAGACATTTTATGCTTATTGGGAAAACAGTTCCCTGTTGAGCCATAAAAAGAAACTCCAGGTCAGTTTCAAGGTTCTTTTCATTTTTTTAATGAGAATATTAAAGGTATGTGTCCTCTGCAAAATGTTAAAACAAGGTTTTGATTTTGATCATAGTTGGTTTTGACACTAAAAAGACAAGCAATGAGATGACTCATCAGGGCAGTTTATTTGGTATATCAGGGTATCCTATGACAGTGTGGGGGGGGAATTTACCCATCAGGCTTATTGTGTCATACCCCTCTCCTCCCCCTTTCTTCCTTCCACCCTTTCGTCATTCCTTCCTTCCTTTCCCCTTCTCTCTCTCTCTCGTTAATCAACTTAGATGACCAAATAATAGCAATAACAAACACTCTGAATTATACCACCTTTCCTCCTCCAGACTGATGGGCTGCATGTGTACTCTCAGGTTATCCCCATTATCCTGCTTGATTGAAAGGGAAACTTTCATCTGTGTGCACTCAAAGAATGAGAGACACTGTTCCTTTTCCAGAATGTAGCCACTAATGAGAGTCATGTTCTATGTATACAGACATGGCCCAAATTCTCTTTGTACAGTCTATGCACCCTTTTTTTTTTTTTTTTGCTTTCAAGCCAACTCAATACTTCTGAAATATATCAGGGCTTATATTTATTAAAACAGTACATATCCATTGTAAACATTTAGTAAGTGTAACACAATAAATACAAAAAAGATCATGGTCATAATCGTACTACCTAAAGGCAAACAACTTCTAAAAATTCTCTTGATATGTCAATGGGAAGTACAAATATTCAGAATACAAAATCTCTGCTATATATTTTTAAAATATTATTTTTTAAGATTTTATTTATATATTTGACAGAGAGAAAGAGCACAAGCAAGGGGAATGGCAGAGGGAGAGGGAGAAGCAGGCCCCCCGCTGAGCAGGGAGCCCGATACGGGACTCTGTTCCAGGACCCTGGGATCATGACCTGAGCTGAAGGCAGACGCTTAACCAACTAAGCCACCCAGGTGCCCCTAAAATATTATTTTTTATATTAAGATACTCCTTTTGTCTACTGGCAAGAACTTCAACTTACTCAACTCAGTGTAAACTCATTCCAATCAGAGTTTTTAAGAGTCAATGCAGTATTTTCTCAGACAAATTAAAGACTTTCAACCAATTAGGTTTTCTCCCGTTTTCTTTATCTCTAGAATTATACCCAAGTTGTGGACCAGCTCAAGCAGTACCACACTGGGGAGATATCATACTGTAATTGTTTGTTTACATTTATTCCTGTTGGTCTTTAATGAGATGTCCCATAGGCCAGCTAGTCTTCTTTTTTTTAATTTTATTTTATTATGTTATGTTAATCACCATACAGTACATCATTAGTTTTTGGTGTAGTGTTCCATGATTCACCGTTTGCGTATAATACCCAGTGCACCACGCAGTACGTGCCCTCTTTAATACCCATCACCAGGCTAACCCATCCCCCACCCCCTCCCCTCTAGAACCCTCAGTTTGTTTTTCACAGTCCATAGTCTCTCATGGTTCGTCTCCCCCTCCAATTTCCCGCCCTTCATTTTTCCCTTCCTACTATCTTCTTCTTCTTCTTCTTCTTCTTCTTCTTCTTCTTCTTCTTCTTC